GCCATGTCAATATTCCGACGTACAATGGATTCAAACACTTCCAACTTGTGCAAGATGAAGCTAGTCGCTATCTGTGGGGCTTCCTACCGAAGGAAAAGCATGAAGCCACGGGCGTTGTGATAAATCATTTGAAATGGCTTCTAGCGCAAGAAAACAAAGTTGAAGTTTTCAACTCTGATCAAGGACGTGAACTGCTCAATCAGAAGATGCGTTCATTTCTCCGTGCTAATGGTATTGAGTACACGTGGACTAATACGTACAGCCCGGAGGAGAATGGGCTTGTGGAGAAGATGAATGGAATCGTGATGAGCCGAGTGCGCTGTTTGCTGAAGCCAGCTGACATGCCATTTTTTCTGTGGGGAGAAGCGTTCGAGTTTGCTGGGGAAGTGGGAAATATAAGTGCGACTTCGGCTTTGAAGGGAGACACCCCGTACTATAGACGCTTTGGTGAGCGGCCTGATGTGTCGACGCTGAGGACGTGGGGATGTTTGGTCTTTACCTTTACGCCAAAGGTACTCCGTACTTCGAAGTTAGAAAACCCTGGTAAGCCTGGATTGTTTATAGGATTTGCCAAACACTCTGAAAGCTATCGAGTGTTGAATCTACTTACTGGTAACGTTCAAGAAGTGAGATCAGTGGAATTTCATGAGGAATGGACTGTTGACAGAACGTATGTGGAGCGTCTGCTCAACAACCGGTATGGTAAAGGGCACAGTAGTTTGCCAAGGATCGTGCCGTTCGTCAGACTGCCCGCGATGGCATCTGTGACGGAGACGGAAACTCTCGATGAGCATCGAAAGCGCCACCGTTGCGACGGAGATTCGAGTTATGGTGACTCGAGCTATTACTACAACCCTGAAGTATCTTCTCCGGTTAATGCAAGTGGTACTTGTGGAGGACCGTTGAGTGAGATAGAGGAATCCTTTCCTGTTGAAACAGGATTTCGGCCTGAGTTACGTGGAATTAACACTCCGCCGGACTCGGAGGCTGAAGTGCACATTCGTGAGGGCAAGTGTGGCCTGGTGGAGTTGCCTGACAGTACTTCACATGGCTTGCTGCATCCGATGGCACAGGAAGACTCACCTTCGGTGGGGGAGACGGTAGTGGTAGAAGGCGAGACTCTCAGTGATGATGCGTTTGTTGCTGACTACGATGCAGAGTTCGATGAGACGTCCATCTCTCACGCTGAACCCGCAAGCTCGCGGATCGTTGAGAAAAAGGCTGAGCGATAGTGGGAGTGATGAGGACGAAGAAGAGATGACGGACACGACTGAGTCGTTTAGACGATCGAGACGAGTTCGATGGCCGAACCCGCGTTACAAGGACTTTGATGTGGAACTTCCAGCCAGTCTCATCATTGAATCTGTGAATGCAGTGATGGAACCGCAGACGGTAGAAGAAGCACTCAATGCACCTGATGCCGATAAGTGGAAGGAGGCATTACAGAAGGAATATGGTGACCTTATGCGCAATAATACGTGGGTATTAGTGGGCAGGCCAAAGGACAAGAAGGTGTTGACCAGCAAGTGGGTCTTCGTTCGTAAGCGAGACGCGCATGGAAATGTTGTTCGACATCGAGCCCGGATTACAATTAAGGGGTGCCAACAACGCTACGGAGTGGACTTTTGGGAAACGTACTCTCCAGTAGTAGCGCAGGAATCAGTGAAGTTTGTTTTGCTGTTGGCGTTGCACTATGGACTTTCGTGCAAGCATGTGGATTTTGTCACGGCATTTTTGAATGGCCCCATTGACGATGCAGAAATCTACATGGAAATCCCTGAATACTTTGACGATGGTTCTGGTCGAGTGTGTAAACTGCTACGAAGTTTATACGGATTGAAGCAAGCGCCGATGATTTGGTATCAAACATTGGACAAGCACTTGCGGGCTTGTGGCTTCCAGCGCTGCAAGATGGATGGTGGCGTGTATACTCGTTCAGTGGGAGGCAGTCCGATATTTGT